CGCAGACACCAACCGGAAGGCACGTGCGCAGCTGCCGAACGATGCTTCGCTGCCGACGCAGCGTCGCCGCCAACAGCTGTGTATCGGCGAATTCGGCACAATCGGCGAATCGCCAGTCGTCCTTTTAGAGCAAAGGATGCGATGCGATTTGCGCAGTTTGCGTACGGTATTCGGAGCTAAAGGACGCAGCAGCGGCAACGCCAACGGATAAATCAACACAACAGCCGTGAGATAAAATTCCTAAACCACAGCCAAACCATCCCAAGCCCCCCCCTCCCCCTCCTTCCCCCCCACTCCACCTACCAACCCGCACTTACCTAACCCACCTCGGCCCGCTCTCCACCCTCGGACAGTTCTTTATTTTATTTTTTTTTCTAAATAACAAGCTTACAAACGCCGCCGCAAAAAGCAACATCAAGTTTAGAACATTTGAAAAGTAACGTATAAAAATTGAAAATATTTTAAAATAAATAAAAAATATTTAATATGCAGAAGTTCTAAAAAAATGTATTAAATTAATATTTGCACAACGGAAATGAAATATATAAAAAAAAAATTGAATTGACAGTTGAACAGAACTTGGAAAAATTTATTGTGAAGAAAACATAAAAACATTATGAAATAAAAGTTTTAGAAGTTTATGCATCGATAGGTTTATGAATTTCAAAAATTATGAAGTGCAAGTTGGACAAGCTTACGAATTTCAAATAAAATACTTACAAAAATATTTGAATTAGTTTTAAAAGTTTAAGAATTTTAACAAAAAATTTACAAATTTCAAAAAATATTAAAAACAAATTAACTTATCAAATTTTGCAAGCTTATAAAAAAAAAAGAAATGTTAAATATATTTGAACAAGTTTATGAGTTACAAAAAATTTAATTAAAAAAAAACTTGAACTAGTTTTCCAAGTTAATTTAAGAAAAAAAAAAACAATTAAAAAAGAAAATGGAACAAATAGTGTGAATTAGTTTGACAATTTTATGAGTTACAAAAACATTTTAAAAAATATGTGTCAGCTGTAAAAAACTTTAAATTAATATGTTAGCAGCATAAAAAAAATCGGAATAAGTTGAAGCTTAGCTAAATATTTTGAAAAAAACATTTTCATGCCCTAAAAAGATATTGAATTCAGTTTTGAGAGTTTAGAAATTTAAAAATTTTCTTTTTTTTTAAATATTAAAATAATATTTTGATAAGAGGAAAAATTGAAAAAAAAAACAAAAAAAAACAAATTTTGCACATTTTCTGAATCTGAACTTGACAGTTTTGGGCGCGCGTCTTGTTGCTGCTGTTGTTGTTGTTGTTGTTGTTGTTGTTGTTGTGACTGTTGCTGCTGCCCGAGCAATATTTTTTGTTGTTGTTGTTGTTGGTGTTGTCCGGGCGTGTGCCGCGCGTTGCAACTGGCCAAAAGCCAAGTCTGAGGCTATTTTGCTTTTCTTTTTTTTGTTCCAGTGCTAAGCTAAGACTATTGTGAACTGATTGTGATTGTGACTGGCAAGCGCGTCAGCTTGAAAGGCTGCGCAAGGACCCTTGGATTACCTTGCGGGCCCAACGGAAGCCATCCACAGCAAAGCAACAGCTGCCGCTGTGCTCACCTAAGGTAAGTTATTCCCACACCCCTCCCACACACACACCCAACCTTCCCCTTCCCCACACATTCAACCTCACTCCCCTCCCCATAATCATGATGATCATTTGCTGTGCTTGTTGCTTTGTAGTTGATTTTGCGGTGCTGGCAATGGCCAAATGCAGCTGCTATTTGTGGCCTGCGGATGGCCACTGATATGGCCCCTCATCCCCCCCTCCCCGCGCCCATTAAATGGGTGCTGGTTAACGTAAACAGGAAACCGCAACCTTTTGCTTGAGAGGTTAGAGACGAACCGAAAGGGTTCCGCACAGCGATTGGGCTGAAGCAACCTTTTTGAACCGCCGGCTGGATTTTGGCTCGAGTTGAAATCGAATCATTTTGCGGGCTTTATATTTAATTTGCATGGCATTTTCGGGTTTACAACGGCCGACACAAAAGCAATAAGAATCCCCCCTCCCCCCTCCCCCCCCCCTCTCCCCTCGCCGTGCGCAACGAAACGAGCAATTTTCACAATTTGAACAAGTTGCCCGGAGCTGAGCGGAGCATTTGAAATTGGCATTTCGATGGCATATTTTGTTTTCATTTTCAATTTCAGAACATTTTGCTGCTATCAAATGCCTTCACACATTCACATTCACATTCACATTCACATTCAGAGCATATTATCGTTTCATGCTTCATGCTTGTCGCATAGCCACAAAAAAAAAATATCAAATTTTCCACTCGTTTCATTTCTTTCGCTTTGGCAACAAAACGACATTTTACATGCTTCACAATTTGTGTTTGCATTGTTGACGAACTTCCAATTATTGTCGGCTGTTGTTCTGTTGAGGTGTTTGACAAAATGTAAAATCCAAATATGTTCATTGAATGCACAAGGAAATTACCCGGCGTCGCATCGCTTTTGTCGTTAGCACAATTTCACATTTTCCTTGTCATAATTTGTCTTGATTTTCCTAAAAGGAAAATCCAAATTTGACGGCCAAAAAAATGTAGAAAAAAACTGAACATTTTTGCTGAATTTGAACCGGCAACTTCTCGCTTGCTGGTTCGACGCTCTGGCAGACTTTTGGCATCGTCTATGTTAAGCTCAATTATAATATTCTTGCTGAAGTTTCTTCTCCCCGCTTCCCAAACAAATCCAAATTTGACGGCCAAAAAAATATAGAAAAACACTGAACATTTTTGCTGAATTTGAACCGGCAACTTCTCGCTTGCTGGTTCGACGCTCTGGCAGACTTTTGGCATCATGTATGTTAAGCGCAATTATAATATTGTTATTGTTATTGTTGAAGTTTCTTCTCCCCGCTTCCCCGTCTTATTGCTTGCCCTTCTTCCCATCCAAAAGATATCACATTTGAATTCATATTCATTTAATTTTAGGTTTTCTTTTATTTAATATTCTTTTTCCGTCACAGTGCTTGATGAACTCTTCTGCATTTCAATTCCCACTTCACTTACAATCTTAATTCTATGTCTCACTTTTCGTATGAATATCTAAAATTCATCCATGAGATATTAGTAAAATACAAGAGCTAGAGTCCAGAAAATCGATAAGAATCATTATTGAAATTACGTTTTTGCTAAAATCTCGATGATTATAAAAGCTTAATATACCAAAGTTGGTAACTAGATACTCCTTTAGCATGCACAGATCTAAAGTATTTCACTTTTTGGTCATCTTCCTCGTTCAACCCAAAACTCTACTAATAACGCACTTTTGGCGGCACAGTCTTGGGCTTTGGTAATTTCTCATATTTGAATGCCATTTGTAAGCCCTGAAAGTTTGATTAAGATGCGATTATTAAAGCCGGAGTTAATCAAGCATGAACTGTTTATAGTGCGGGGTCTGGCGCAGATAAGGCACAGGAAAGAAGAAGCGAACTGCGCAGCAAGCAGTGAGGCTGCTTGTGTGTGTGTGTGTGTGTGTGTGTGTGTGTATGTGCGTGCTTGTGTGTGTGTGTGTGAAATAAACTAGAAAGTGCTGGAGACTAGCTAGAACGAAATGATGAGAGGTAGATAAATGGGCATATGGTTTAGTCGAATCATTCGTTGATATTCATCAAGATTTATACTCTCAAAGTTCAATTGAATGTGTTATTCAAATGAACTACTAAGTCTATGCAATTGTTGGCGAACTAGTTCGCTCATTTGATTCACTCTTTCGTTAAATAAAAGCTTGAAAATAAAGTGTTTGCATTGTTCGTAAGCGATTGAATAGATGTGCATGAACTCAGCCAAGAGCGCGACTCGAAGATGATCCACTGAACTGGTTCACCAAAGTGAACTTGTAGGGTTCACTCCTAGGAATATAGAGCAGGGTTGTCTGTGACAACAATATAAATAAACTGTTTAGTTCTTATTCAATAGCTGTTAAAATAAATTGAGCCAAGTTTACGACTCGAAAAAGAACTGGTTCACCAAAATTGAACCAGTAAGGTTTACTCCAAAGAACATAGAGAGGGGTATTTTGCGACAACAAATTTTAATAAATCGTTAAGCACTTATTCAACAGCTGTTAAAATAAATTGAGTCAAGTTCACGACTCGAAAAAGAACTGGTTCACCGAATCGAACTAGTAGGGTTCACTAATTAACTGATTAGCGTCTATTCAATAGCTGTTTAAGTAAATTGAGCCAAGTTCACGACTCGAAAAAGAACTGGTTCTGTGACAACAATCTTAATAAACTGTTTAGCACTTATTCAAGCGCCTATTTAAAGTAATTGGCGAAATTGAGGCGAAAACGATTTGTGGAACATGGAGTTGGTTTCGCTGGCATTATTTATGGTCGTTATTTTAACTTGGTGCTTCATTCGCTTTGTGCTTTCCTCGTCTCCTCTTTTCATTGCACACTTTGGCGCGTCGCTGCATTACTTTTTATTGCATTGCCAGCACAACAGCAGCAGCAATTGCAGCAGCAGCAGCAGCAGCAGCAGCAGCAACTGTGTTGTTGCAGCACATTTCGTTATTTTAAATTTTATTTCCACTCAAGCAGAACTCATTGGAAGAGCAAGGCAAAGGCGAGAACAGAAAAATAAGAAGAACAACGAAGGGAGGGCAAAGTACGACGAAGGAGGACGCAACGCGACGCGTTAAGTGCTAAAAGCAGCAGCGTTTCTCTGCCATTTTTATTTTATGCCTTTATTTCTTAACATATATTTTTATTTGTATCTTGAAATTTGTGTGCCAACAAAGAGAAAGACGCCCGCCGGCAACAGCAGCAACAGCAGCAACAGCAGCAACAACCGCAGCGACCGCAGCAGTTGCAACACAGTCCAAAGCAGAGCCGCGGCATTGCAGCCGCAGAAAATGGCCGCAGCAGCAGCAACAGTAACAGCAACAACAACAACAACAGCAGCAGCAGCAACAACAGCAACGTACAGCATATTGGGCAACTGAGTGAATGAATGAAAGCGGCGACAGCTGCGACGGCTGCGCGGATTGCTGAAGATGTTGATGAAGACGAAGACGAAGATGCCGAGCAGCCAGAAGTGCTACACGACAATGCCAAGTGCCAACAGCAACGACAACATGAACAACAACAACAACAACAACAGCAGCAACAACAAACAGTGCAAAAGGGGAAATTAAGTGCCAAAGGCAACAACAGTTGCAGCCGCAACAGCAACAGCAACTTTCGCAGCGTCAGCGAAGCAAAATCAAAACTAAATTTACATAAGAAAACAAGAGAACACAGAGCAAACGAGCAGCTCAAAAGGCATAATCAAAATAAACGAAACAGCAACAGCAACAACAGCAGTAACAACAACAGCAAGAACAGCAACCGCAACATGGCAGCTGCTGCATGTAGCAGCTGTGGGCGTGGCCAACGTGTTGCCGCCTTGCGGTTAATATGGCTGCTGTTGCTGCTGGTGGCCAACAGCAATGGCCAGGCGCAAGCAGCACCAGCCAAGCCAGCAACTGTTGCAGCTGCCGCACAGCAGCTACAGTTTGGCGTTGAGGGCGACACGCCCACACTGATTGTCGCTGCCAAGCAGCAGCAACATGAGCAGCAGCAGCAGAAACAACATGAGCAGCAGCAACAACATGAACTGCAGCAACATGAGCAACAACGTGAGCAACAGCTCGAGCAGCAGCAGCAGCAACAGCAGCAACATGAGCAACATGAGCAACAACTCGAGCAGCAGCAGCAACATGAGCAGCAGCAGCAGCAACATGAGCAGCAGCAGCAGCAACATAAGCAGCAGCAGCAGCAACATGAGCAGCAAAATGAGCAGCAACAACATGAGCAACAGCTGCAGCAGCAATATGAGCAACAACATGAGCAACAGCAGCAGCAGCAACATGAGCAACAACTCGAGCAGCAGCAGCAGCAGCAGCAACATGAGCAGCAGCAGCAGCAACATGAGCAGCAGCAGCAGCAACATGAGCAGCAGCAACAACATGAACTGCAGGAGCAACATGAGCAACATGAGCAGCAGCAGCAGCAACATGAGCAGCAAAATGAGCAGCAGCAACATGAGCAACAGCTGCAGCAGCAACATGAGCAACAGCTCGAGCAGCAGCCGCAACAGCAACATGAGCAGCAGCAGCAGCAACACGAGCTGCAGCAGCAGCAACATGAGCAACAGCAACAACACGAGCTGCAGCAACAGCAGCAGCATACAGTCATCACAACAGCAGCAGCAGGCACAGCAGCAACAGTTGCTGCTGTCAATGAAAGCAGCATGCCAAGCACCAATGTATTTCAAGTGCCCGCAACAACAACAACAACAACAGCAGCAACATCGACAACTGCAGTAGCAGCAGCAACCACAGCTGCTGGCGGCAACACTTTGAATGTAAGCCAACTGCAACAGCCAGTGGAGTCGGTGGTGCAGCTGCTGGACCTGGAAATGACAGCCGCACCACCAACTGGCAATGGACACGACGGACGCAAGCTGACCAAAAAGAAGCAGCTACAGCAGCAACACTTTGCGGAAGCCACCACCACCAGCAGCACCACCAGCACCTCTAGCACCACCAGCACCAGCAGTGGCAGCAGCTTGGAAAGCAGCCAATCGGCCGCGCTGTTGCCCGTGCCCAATGGCTATTTGGGACCCATTTTTATGGGCGAGAAAACGTTTAGTGTGGTGCATCCGCTCAAGAAACCACTGGCACCCACACCCAACCACCACCAACAGCAGCAGCAGGAGCACGAGGACTCCATTGAGCTGCAGCTGCGCCAGGGACGCATCGTGGAGATATTGGCGCCAACAGCTTTGCTCGAATCGAATGTGGAGAGCAGCTCCAGCACAACCACAATTACAACCACGCTGCCAGCAGCTGCCGCACACACACAATCGGTGCTGTCGACAACTGTTTTCCAGGTGCCGGAGCCGCAGCAGAGCAGCACCACACGCCTGCCCATGGCGGCGGCCGAGATCAGTGTGGCGGGGTACGCGGTGCTGCCAGCACCGCCGCGCACCGAATCCAAGATATCCGATATACAAATCGAGGTATACGACTCGACGGTCGACTCGATTGTGGCGTCCACCAATTTTCGGGACAACCGTGGCTACTATCCGCTGCCACTGGAACCGACGCTGGGCACCGCCAGGCCGCCCAGCTCACCGGTGGCCCAGGAGCGCTTCACCCAATACGTAATCGATCGGGCCGATGTCTCCACACAGGCCGCAGCGGGCGCTGTTATGGGCGTTGGGGTGGACAAACCGGAGCCGGCGGCCATCGAGATACACATCAATGTGTCGGAAGCCTTTGGCAATGAGAGCGAAGATCTGGAGTTCTCCTACCGCCAGCCGGCGGCCAGCGAGACAAAGGCCAGCAAGCCCAACGACGAGATACTTGTCGTGGAGATCATCGACAACAGCGCCGGCGACAACAGCACCGAGAACACGTTCAGCGATGCCGTCGACCACATGAATCTGAATCCCATGTTCAGCTATCCGTATCGCTCGGATGCGCCGCCGGCGCCGGCTGTGCGTCCGCCCCACGATTCTGCCGACGAGCTCTTTATGGCGGATACGAAGAGCGTTGAGGGCTTGCCACGCCCGCCGCCGCCGCCGCTGCCACCGCCGCCGCCGCCGCCGCGCAAGCCGAGCATCGATCGCGACTCGGACACCATATTCTATATATCCAACACGGAGGTCAAGGTCGGCGAATCCCTGCCCACCGCCAGCAGCGGCAGCAGCGTTGTCAACGAGCAGCAGCAGCGCAAGCTCCAGTTCGAGAATCAATTCTTTCCCGCCAGCTACATCCTGGACCAGCAGCAGCAGCAGCTGCAGCGCAGTTCGGCTGCCACGCCCCGCTATGAGGAGGACATTCTACTCTCGCCGCAGCAGCATACCGCCGACGCCCTAAAGATCCTGCGCAGTCCCAGCAGTGGCGGGGGTGGAGATGGCGCTCCTCCGCTGGATGTGACCTATGTGGGTGAGTCGGTTATTGAGGTGGAGCAGCAGTCGCTGGCGTCCACGATGTCAGCACCGAGCCACGCCAGCTCGCAGCAGTCGGACATTGTCATACAGCCGGCGGTGCTGCCCGATTTGGCGATTGGAGTGCCCGTCATTGGGGAGCTGCCGCCGCAGATAGAGCTCAAGGAGATCGACTATATGCCCGGCGAGCTGGTTGGAGCGGGGCGCAGCATCTATGAGAACGATATTGAGAGCAACAACGGTTTGGGCCTGGGCAACGATCCGGATGTCATCGAGAGCTCCATTCAGTATGGCGGCGATCTGATTGACGATGGCGCCGGCGGCGGCTTTGATGGCGTCGAGGGCTCCTATCCGTTCGAGAGTCCGGCCCATCGGCTGCAGCAGCAGGATGCACAGGTCGCCCGACACCAGACATTTGGCCACGGCTTCAGTCACCTGCATCGCGAGCAGCTGCCCGTCGCGGAGCTACTGAACGCCACGCTCCAGCAGCACAACGAGAGCCTCAGGGGCTATGCCGATTCGAGTGGTGCATCCGCCATGGCGCCCCTGCAGCACGGGGAGCGCATGGGCAATGCCACGGCCCTTTCGGAGGATCCGCTCGCCGACTATGATGGTGAGTTTAGAGTGCAGACATTGTTCGGCTATTGACTGACCCTGCTTCTTGCTTTTCCCGTCTTCCTTTTCTTTTGCAGGTTTTCTCAATCTCTTCGCCGTTTCCATGGGCCTCATCATTGTCATTCTGCCCGCTGCGCTCCTGACGTCCATGTACTGCGCCGTACGGTAAGTAAATTCGTTTCAGGAAGAAACATTTTATTCTTGCATTAAGTGGATTTGATACTATATAAGCCACTAGCCGGCAATTTCCGGACTATGACCAGGTCAACTTCCTTGCTTAACATTTTTAATAATTCTTCTCCACACATTTTTTGCCTGTGGAAAGTTTAAAACAACAAAGCTTTAAATCAACTGCTTTCTAGCAATTTTGCACACCAATCAGATAGTCTGTCAGTCAATCCGTCAGAAAGTATGTCAATCAGTCAGTCATCAGTCTATCTATCAGGTTGTTGGTACATCTATCAGACAGTATGTCAATCAGTCATTCAGTTGGTCAATCAGTCAGTCATTCAGTCTATCAATCAGTGTCAATCAGTCAGTGGTTCATCAGTCAGCTAGTCAGACAATCAGTCAGACAATATTTCAATCAGTCGGTCAGTCAGTCAATCACTCAGTGGGTTAATCAGTCAGTCATCAGGCAGCTGGTCAGTCACAAAGTCAGTCAGTTATATAGTCAATCATCAATCAATTGGTCATTCATCAATCAATCAGACAATGTCAATCAGTCATGAGTCAGTAAGGGAATCAGTCGGACAGTCACTTAATCCAACAGTATGTCAGTCACTCTGTCAATCAGTCAGTTAGTTAGCCAGTCAGTCAATCAGTCAGGAAGCTAATCAGTCATCAGTCAATCAGTTTGTCATTAAGTCAGACACTTAGTCATCAGTCAATCAGTCAGGAAGTTAATCAGTGATCAGTCAGTCTGTCAATCAGTCAATGAGTCAGTCAATCAATCAGTTAGTCAGTCAGACAGTCCGTCAGTCAGTCAATGAATCAGTTAGTTAGTCAATCAGTCAGTCAATCAGTCAGTCAATCTGTCAATTGGATTGTTGGGACAAATAGATAGGCTAAGCTTTGTTCTGCATTTTATAAATTATATTCGAAACTGTAGGAAAAATCGTTGATCGATATCAAATGATTGGATATATCGAAAGATTGATTTCCAGTCTAGACGATTATCTCATGCGATGCAATAAATCGCTGCTTTATTCGGGCTTCCATCTGCAGCTCTTGAGCTGAGTGCAATAAATATTTAAATAAACAACAGACAACAATCCCCTAGAGCTTCAGCAGGGCCGTGTCTAGAGTTCATCACGCGCTGTCCTTGAACTTAAAAATAATTGCGTGTGCTCAATGAAGTTGAAAATGATCACAAAGCAGTTGCCGGAAGGGGAACGGAGTGGTAGGGGGGCAGGGGAGGGGGGCGGCTGTCTGTTTGAAAGCCAAAATGGTGGCAATTGCTGCAATAAGCAGCGAGGCGCAACGAGAAGCGACTTTGCCACGCAGCAGCAAATGACAAATTGAGGCAGGATGAAGCAGCAGCAGCAGCTGCTGCAGTCAGTTGCCAAGTGCTCGAAGGGTTACCTGACAAACACACACACACACACACACACACACACACACACACACACACATACACATGGGAGTTATTGGTAGATGGGAGGCGTGGCAAATCGCATTTATCAGCTTCATGCTGGCATTTTATTTCTAGCAAATCTGTGACTCGGGCCAGGACGAGGCGACGGGGTGTGACGCAATGTCAGCACGCAACATCCTTTCAGGCAGGCAGCTCTAAACTGCCACGCCCCCCCTTCACACGGCACGCCCCACGAACAGGCTGCTGCGATACACATAAATCTCGAGCATGCCACGTAAATGGGAATTTGTTGCCATTGCCTTTTTATATGCGGGCACTAAATGCCAAACAAAATGAACGCCATGCGTGCGGGCGGGCGGGCGGGGGAGGGGGCAGGTAGTGGCTGAGAGGCCGGCGGGCGGAATAAAAGCTGGCCCGAAAACCTAAAGGCGCCACAAATCAAAGACGAGCGCGTCGACACAAGGCGCCGGAAGCGGAAGTCGCCAGAGCAACAGAGACAGAGACAGAGACAGAGAGAGAGAGAGAGAGAGAGGGTGAGGAGGAGGATGGGGGGGGGGGGGGAGACAAGTGAAGATGATGAAGATGGCAAGTGGCATTGAAGCTAACAAGGAACCGAACCGAACCGAAGCGCAAAGGAAACGCATAAAACGTCAAAATGGCAACCGCAAACCAGTTGCCAGTTGCCAGTTGCCACAGAAAGGTGCCACAGAAAGGTGCCACACGACGGCGGCAGCGGAAATCAATTTTCCCAGTGTTTTTTTTCCTCTTCTTCTCCTTCTTAATTTTTATTGTTGTTGTTGTTGCTTGCGGTCACACAAGCAAGTGATAGGAAGGGGGCGTCGGGTAGGTGCGTGTGTGTGTAGGCTGAAAAGGAAATTGCACAATAAACTGTCGAGACGAGAAATTAGTTGTGCGTGTGTGTGTGCGTGTGTGTGTGTGCGACAATTTGCACTGAGAAACGCATTAAAAACGAGAGTTAAATGCGAAGGTCTCTTAAGTCTGCTTGACGAACTGGGGGGGGGTAGGTGTAAAGAACTTTTCTATTACTCATGTGAAACACACACACACACACGCACAGCTGGTGACATGTGCTGCTTAGTATTTGCCAAAGTATCATGGCGCTGACTTTGCGCCATCTGTTTTTTTCTTGCAGATGGGCAGCACTTGAGCGTGCTGTGAAACTTAGCTTGGCAGCTCTTTCTAGCAGCTGGGCAGCACTCGACCTGTTCTTCATTTATCCAAGCATTCAAGTTTCTCCCGCTACTCTCGCTAGCTCCTTTTGAAACTCTTTTTAGCCAGCTGGGCAGCACTTCGGCAACATGTCAAGTGCTTTGTAACTTTAACGTCTACATCTTTAACCTCCTGTAAGCCTGTTTAGCTTTTTTAAGTAGATCGACAGCTGTTCGGGTTCTAAACATATGCCAATAGTCAGCACGCTGCAAAAGTAGATAAGTTGCATTCATGTTGTTGACTTGTTTGTGCTTCTCTCGCGGCTGATGCTTTTGAGAAAGCTGCTTTCTTAATGGGCAGCACTGAACAAATGAACACAGACAACCACAAAGTCACATAGACAGTCATTTGATCCTTAGTTTATATGTGTCCCTAGTTCTTCCAGAAGCAGATGGGCAGCACTCTGTTGCTACTCACTATGTTTGAGTAGATAGGCAGCACTTCAACACAAGAGCTCAAACATTTCTGTCATTAAAGACATGCAAAGTCCACTCAATGTTTCCCTAGTTTCTATGTATCTCCATCTCTTCTTTAAACAGATGGGAGCTACTCATTATTTTCGAACAGATGGGCAGCACTTCAACACAAGAGCTCAAACATTTCTGTCATTAAAGACATGCAAGGTCCACTCAATGTTTCCCTAGTTTCTATATATCTCCATCTCTTCTTTAAACAGATGGGCTGCTCTACTCGTTATTTTCGAACAGATGGGCAGCACTATAACACAAGAGCTCAAACATTTCTGTCATTAAAGACATGCAAGGTCCACTCAATGTTTCCCTAGTTTCTATGTATCTCCATCTCTTCTTTAAACAGATGGGTAGCACTCTGTTGTTACTCGTTATTTTCGAACAGATGGGCAGCACTGGGGCAAACATTCATGTTTGCAGCAGAAAGTAGGCAACAAATTTGGTGCATTCCACTTGCATTTCGCGCACATTTAATATGCATGGGATATTATAATGATGCCAACTCACTTACTATTCACTGTCTCTCCGTCTCTAACTCTCTCACTCTCACTCTCCCTCTCTCTCTCTCTCTCTCTCTATTTCTCTTTGTAGTTATTTGATGAACAAGAATGCGGCTTCGAGTGCCGCTGGCGATGACAGCGAACAGGGCCAGGATTCCAAGAATGAGGTAAGTGCGCCCAACTAGATGATAAAGCGGCTGTGGAAGCTAACGACGACGATGATGATGATGATGATGATGATGATGATGATGATGATGATGATGATCAAGTTGTTGAAGATGATGATGAGAAAGCAACAGCAGCAGGCGTTGAAGTTGTAGATGAAAGAAGAAACGCAACAAACAAAACTTCAATTGAAATGCGAAGGCAAATGCCGTCAAGTGTGGGGACAATTTTCTCACGGCGCCACGCTTCGGCCACGCCCATCTCGCCGCCGCCTTTTTCCCAAACTGCAAACAATGCCAAAAATGTTGCGTCAAATCGCGAATTTGCCTCCGCGTAACTTAATTGCATTCAAATAGTTGCGCGGCTTAAAACTAGTTCAACTTTGACTCGAGCTCTGCGTCGCTCAGCTGCTGTGTGTGTGTGTGTGTGTGTGTGTGTGCACGTGTCTATGTGTGTGTGTGTGTGTGTGTGTGTGTGTGAGTTCACTAAAAGCCTGTGTTCACTCTGTTACTTTACAGTCGTCGTCCTGCTCGGTCGCATCCTTCTCGTCGCCAATATCGCAGCTGAGCATTCAACACGTGAATCTGAATCCGAATCCGTTTTCGAGTCCGGAACTGAATCCGGACTCGAATCGAAATGCAGATATGATTCGGTCCATGTCCTTGGCCCTGGCCAGCGGCGTGCAGCGCATCGAGTTTCAATTTGATGCGCGCCCAGATATACAGACGCCCACATCGACGGGCGCTGCCACGCCCACATTGGCGAGCGCTGCGTTCGCGTTCAGTGGTTCCGTCACAAAGATGACGCTCAAAGATAATCATCTGATTGTTGTCACCGAAGAGCGCCATGTAAGTTCAACTGTGAACAGCGTTAACAGCTGTTAGCTAACAGCTGTTAAGCTGCTCTACTGTTTGTCATGTCTTTTGTCGTTGTCGTCTCTTTTACTCGCACTGCAATTACCTTATATAGTTATAGATGCACAATTACATCATAAGGAGAGTGGTTCATTTCTCTGTGAATTAGTTCTTAACACTTGAGTTTAGATAAAGATTAAGTTAGAAATTATTAATCTCTTCTTAAATTCAGCCTTTATGTTACTTTACTAAGTGAACCAGCAATGGATCCTGTTCATGGAACCAGCTAGACATTTAAGTTATGCCAATACGAAAATTTTATCGTGAAGTTCTTTGCGGAAAGTAAATGAGCTTTTCTAATGCCGGAGCGCTGAACTAGTTCGCGTTTACTAGTTCCTTAGAATCTTTAGACCAACACTTGAGTTTAGATAAAGATTAAGTTCGAAATTATTAATATCTTCACAAAGTCAGTCTTTGTTTGAATGTTACTCTTTAAACTATGTGAACCAGCAATGGAACTTGTTCATGGAACCAGCTAGACATTTAATTTATGCCAATACGAAAGTTTTATCGAGAAGTTCTTTGCGGAAATATATCATTTATTGAGCTTTTCTAATGCCGGAGCGCTGAACTAGTTCGCGTTTACAATGGGAACGTCTTAATGAGAACTAGTTCCTTAGAATCTCTAGACCAACACTTGAGTTTAGATAAAGATTAAGTTCGAAATTATTAATATCTTCACAAAGTCAGTCTTTGTTTGAATGTTGCTCTTTAAACTATGTGAGCCAGCAATGGAACTTGTTCATGGAACCAGCTAGACATTTAAGTTATGCCAATATGAAAGTTTTAGCGAGAATATCACTTAGCTTTGCTAATGCCGGAGCGCTGAACTAGTTCGCGCTTACAATGCGAGCTAGTTTCTATGGGAACTAGTTCCTCAGATTCTTTAGATAGGATAGGTACTATTTAAAGTTGTTCAAAATCAGCCTTTGTTTAAAATTTCCTCAATTAGCTGCCAGAAACAGTGGTCTAGAGTCCATAAACTAGTTCATGGAACCAGCTTAAAATCAAAGTTGTGGTTTGTTTAACTACTGAGTACCAAATAAGCTCATGTTACAAATTTCCAATGGCTATCCAAGTCAACTGAACTAGTTAATGGAAGATTTAATTTTTTTTTTACATTACTTTACTCATTCTTTGTGAACTAGCTCACTTGCACAAGCTCACAGTTGTCTGGCTAGTTCCGGAACACTTATAAGCGCTCTCTCCGCGGATTTTTGTGCATCTTAATAACTGTATTTTGTCAAATATTTGTCTCTCTTTTTGCTCGCTTCTTATCGTCTTTTGCTCGCATCTCTAACTGTTTGTCTCTCGCTCTCTGTCTAACTCATACAATACTTTGTCGCACTCTCATGTAGTTATTATCTCCGTCTTTGTATCTGTTGTTGATGTTGTTGTCGTAGCACTGATTGATTGACTGATTGATTGCCGTTGTTGTTGTGTTGTTGTGTTGTTGTCTGCCTGCTCTTTCAGCCCGAACGACTCCCATTGTTGTAATTTTGATGGTAACCGTCTCTTTCGCTCTTTTGACTCTGAAATGTGTAAATAGTTGTCTCCCTAAACGAGTTGGAGAGGGACAGAGATAGAGAAAGCTCTATTGTTCACATACCTGTATATATTTCGCTTCTTGTCTCTTACTCTCTCTCTCTCTCTCTTCCCCCTATCTCTTCAAGACTAAAGTAACTTGAGAGCGAAAGAGACAGCGCAACAACCTGTTCCTTTTCTAATCAATCAACTCTTGATGTTACGCCAGAGTAACGAGCATCAATCAATAGCTGATTGAGCACCAAAGCGACAGCTGTAAATAGAGTGCGCTTGCTGTCTCGTTTCCTCTTGAAACTCTTGTTTGCAATTTGTGTCCTTCAACTGCAGCTGGTGCATCCTTTGGGCATCCACTTGCTGGCATCCGCACGTTTATTGCCCTCTCTCCCACTCCCAACGTTTGTTTCTATACCCTGTACCCAATGGAAAGATTAGAAGAGATATGTGTATCCGGTGGAAGAACGTTAGAATATGTTTATACAGCATTAAGCAGTTCGAGCTCGAACATGTTGCTGTTCGAGCAGTTCGAGCTCGAACATGTTGCTGACTCGAGCAGTTCGAACTCGAACATGTTGCTGACTCGAGCAGTTCGAAATTAGTTTTGTCGACACTCGAAAGCTCGAGTCTCTCGGTTTTCAATTATATCCATCGAGTTATCCGATGTTTCTTCTTAGTTTGTCTATTGGGTGCAGGGTATTTGCTGTTCGAGCAGCCGCGATTGGAGCACTTGTTGTTGGCCGTTTGTCTTCCTGTCATCCTTTGGGCTTCGAGTCTCAGCTATTTGTCAAGCAGCCCAGCCCAGGATATCCGCTGCAAGCCACAGTCACACCCCTGTTCCCCACACACCTGCTCTCTGTCTTACTCCCACTCTCCCCCTCTCTCCCCCTCTCTCTCTCTCTCTCTCACACACACTCTCTCTGTCTAACTGTGTATGAGGTGTAAATGTGCCACAAGCCAAAGCATATGCAAATGCAATTTTCGGCACTTTCCGCATGGCAGCTGCACGATTTGTCCGCCTGCTGCCGCCGCTTGTGGCCTACCCCACCCCCCTTCCCTCCCCCCTGCCCACAAATCGTTGCTGTTGTTGTTCCTGTCATTGTTGTTGCCTGCTACGTTCGCCCCGTTCCCGCCACCGCCAGTACCTCATATGCCGGTCTCCTTTCCTCTTCTCGCCCCGAAATGCAGGACATTTCACGCAACGCACGCGAGACCAAGATGCACACGGACAAGGACGGCGTCTTCGTGGTTGAGGTGGCGCGCGGCATCGATTCCAAGCAGCCGCCGGATAGCCCCGCCGCCACCGCCAACGCCGCCGCCGCCGCCGGCATAGACATTACCGAGCTGCCCTTCGATACGAACACCAAGCAGGCGGCGGCGCTGGTCGAGCGGAGCTTGCCGCCCAGTCATGAGCAGGTGCAGATCCATGCGCCACCCAGCGATTTTGCCAATCCCTCGTTGCCAGTCGGAGTTGGAGCCGGAGCCGGAGTCGGAATTGGAGTCGGTGCTGTTGGCCTGCAGCTCATTGAGGAGGAGCAGCTGCTGCCCGAGGAGGAACCGGCCGACGACGAGGAGCCGCAGCCGATGCCATCGCTAACCGGACTGTCCCAGTCGGATCTCAGCTCCAGCTCCTCGAGTGACTCAAACAAACGCTACTCCTATGGCAACCAGGAGCTCTATGTCATCGAGCAGCCCGGCTATGCCCAGGGCTCGCCACTCTTGCTCAGCGCTCAGCTAATCGCCGGCCAGGAAACCACCGATAATGACCAGGAGCCGCAGTCACAGCTGGAGGAGCCACCGGTGCCGGCACCCGCCGCCTTCGGCAATGCCCCAGAGCAGCCGGTGGCACTAGAAGAGGGAGCTGCGGCTGGGCAGGAGTCGACAGCTCAGGAGCAGCCCAGGGAGGAGCCGGAAAATGGCTATGACAGCTTGATGAGCCTGCCGGCGCCGCCCTCCACCGAGGAGATTAAGGAGCTCAACGATTTTACGCTAAACGAATCGAACCAATTGGATTCATTACCGCCGCCACCGCCGCCGCCGCTGAATGAGGCACCAAATGTCAGCGTACACAACGAGGAGGAGGAGGAGGAGGAGGAGCAGGAGAAGCAGCAGGAGCAGGAGCCAGAGAAGGAGGAGCAACCGGAGCAGAAGCCAATAATGAAGCTAGCCAATGGCAAAATCATCGCCAGCAATGCACCACCAATAACTGAAACTGGGGGCCAGGAGCCATCCACATTGACGCCGCCCGCCTCGCCGCCTGCCACGCCCAGCGGCTCGCCGGTGGCCAGCGGCGGCTCCACGCTGTGCGCCGGCAGTCTCAGCAATGGCCTCCATCCGGTTGCACAGCCCATGGCAGTCGATGTGAATGGCAGTTAAGAAGAAGAAGCAGCAGCAAAAGTCTAGAGCAAGAGGCTGAAGAGCAACAGCTGGCAACGCGCATTGAAGGTAAGCAGAAGTAGAAGAAGAAGAAGAAAATAGTAGAAGAAGAAGAAGCAGCAGCAACTGGCAAGAAGAAGAAGAGCAACACGCGTTGCAGTTACGATATTCGCGAGTACTCAATATAATATCTAATATCTAAGCTATTTAGAGATCGATCGAAGAGGTATTTTTTTTTTGTGTCCAAAAACAAAAGTCGAAGCATGCGCCCACACACACACACACACACACACACACACACACACACACACACACACATACACATAGACAGATGTTTAGGCTAGGCTAAGCGTTAGGCAGCATAAAATAATCCAAAAACAAAAACTAAATATAAATATGAATATGAATATGAATGCGTGAGCGTAGCAAAAGAATTTTCAATTTTTCCAATTAACTGTTTGTTGATTTTTCAAATATTGATAGAAACAAAAAGAAAAGAAAAAAAACACAAAAAAAAAATATATATATTCAAATGCGATTGATATTGAAAAAATAAAACATAATTAATTGTTTGTCTATTTGATAATTGTCAATGATATTTCAATGTCTAACTACAAAATAACTACAAATAAGCCACAGCCGAAACGAATCCCTTGACAACAAGTATAATAATGTCCCCCCGAAAACAATGCCATAAAATGCATAAATAATACATTTTAATTGTTTGCACATACATTTCGATTGCGCATTCTTAATCAAAGCAACTAACCCATTGTAATCGACTATTTTTTTTTGGAGCTCCAGCGCTGTCAAATTACGTTATGCTATCTTTTTAGGGTCTTAGTTGTGCATATCGAAGAGCTTAAACAAATATAACAACATTTTATGGCAGGAACCAACTCAGTGAATGCGCTAAAGCTTTGAGTTTTGGTATGCTGACTAATTTCGCACCCAGCTCTCTGCAAACGAAAGCCTTGCAAAGAGCGCCCTTTAATTGAGCAACTAACCCAGTGAACTCAGCTTTCACCAGAGCTAGAGCTGTCAAATTTGATATGCCGATTATTGAGGATCTCAGTTGTGCTTATCCAAGAGTTCAGCAAAATATACCAACCTTTCGGAGGGCAACCAACCCATTGAACTCGGCAACTAAGCGCGCTAGAGCTTTGATTTTTGGTATGCTGACTAATTTCGCACCCAACTCTTTGCAAACGAAAGCCCTGCAAAGAGCGCCCATCATTTGAGCAACTAACCCAGTGAACTCAGCCTTCACCAGAGCTAGAGCTGTCAAATTTGATATGCCGATTATTGAGGATCTCAGTTGTGCTTATCCAAGAGTTCAGCAAAATATACCAACATTATAGCAGAGCAACTAACCCAGTGAACTCAGCTTTCACCAGAGCTAGAGCTGTCAAATTTGATATGCCGATTATTGAGGATCTCAGTTGTGCTTATCCAAGAGTTCAGCAAAATATACCAACATTATAGCAGAGCAACTAACCCAGTGAACTCAGCTTTTACCAGAGCTAGAGCTGTCAAATTTGATATGCCGATTATTGAGGATCTCAGTTGTGCTTATCCAAGAGTTCAGCAAAATATACCAACATTATAGCAGAGCAACTAACCCAGTGAACTCAGCTTTCACCAGAGCTAGAGCTGTCAAATTTGATATGTTGACTTTTTGAATGTGTCAACTGTTCGCATCTGAAGAATTAGGGGAATCTACACACATTTGGCACATTTTGCGTGCACAGCGTGTTTACAAGTCGTACTCCGATATTCTTTGACATTTACTATATTTCATTTCATTTTGTGAAGAGTAATCAAATGTGCCGAAATTTATATAGAAGAAGACAAACACACAATTTACAATAACAATTTATACAATCTATAAGAACTTTACTTATACAAATACGATACGTGAGCATCTCGTGTAATCCTTGAACAACTAGCGACTAGCAAATAGTTTTCTTTTGGTAAACAATACGTAAACTATAAACAAACAAAAACAAAAAAAAACACAGGACTTCAAATTCAGAACATAACATAAACTAAATATTGATGTGCTAAGTGTAACTAAGATAAACAATTAAATATTCAATAAATGGTAAAATGGTAAATGGTAAAAAAGAGAAAAAAGCAAAGTCATACAACACAAGAAAATAAAAAGAAAAGAACAGAAATGAAAAGAAAAGAATTCTCTAAATAAATAGACGTAAAACATTTATTAAATAAAACTCGAGATTTCCAGAAAAATATTAAAATAAAATAAAAAAAATATTATAGCAATTAAAGATAAATGATAATTAATTCAAAGAAAATTAAGAAAAATGCGTGCACTGCAAGTGGCACTCGTTTTTTTTTGTTTTTTTTTTTACAAGTAGAGAATTATATATGCAATACCCAAAGGATATAGCAAGTTATATAGATCGGTTCCGATCGGTTCAAAAACGAACGAACGACAGATTTTTAAGTTTTTTGTTAATTCGATTGTTTCCAATTGTTTTATTGACAATTTGTTTGTACGAAGCAGGCACAAAACAAGAAAATATATATATGATAATGATTGATATATGATATACTTATATAATCCTATATAGAAACATAAATCTAGGCATGTGCCAGTTTTTTTTTTTTTTAATAAGAATAATAAAGCCAAACGAACACAGAAAAGAAAAGTAAATGGAAATGAAAAACATAAAGAGAAAAAAGTAAAAAAACAAAAAAAAAAAAACAAAAAACATAATAAGTAAATGTGATTGTTATTTAACTTAAGTTATGCATTAAATTGATAATTGATATGTGTGTGTATTTGTATGTAAGGTATGCCAAAAACATATAGTATATATATACAGCCCAGTTAGCCAAAGCGATGATTGATTCGATTGAGATCGAGCGCAGAGCATGGTACAGTAAAAGCTGAAAAACTGATTTAAAATGAAAAGATAAATGGTAACTACTATGTGAAGGCTACTAAGCGAGCATTTGACCCACTATATACTAGGGTCAGCCAGCGATTGGAATAAAATGAATAAAATGAAATTCAAGATATTAAGAAAGCAACATGATCTTTTTCCTTGGCGGTTACTGCACACATATGGACACTGCACACTGTGGTAAGTTGGAGAGTTTTCAATATTTGTAGATATTATTAGTATTATAAGCTAGCAGCTTTCAAAATATCATAGAAGTTAGATCGAATATTTGGAAGACCGGAGTACACTTTGAAAATTTGGTAGTTCTAGTAACTGCAGTCAAAACTGTCTGCCTTTTGGTTGGTATGGTTTGGGCCATCAGTCAGTAAGTTAAGCAATCAGACAATCAGACAATCAGTCAGTAATTTAGTCAAACCTTCATTCAATCAGCCAAACAATTAGATATTCTATCTGTCAGTCAGTCAATCTATCAGTCAGTCAGACAATCAGACAGTCAATCAGCTAATCCATAAGTCAGTCAATCAGCCAGTCAATCAGCCAGTCAATCAGCCATTCAATCATTTAACTAAACCTTCGTTCAACCAGTCAGTGAATTATTCATTCAATCATCCAGTCAATTTGTCAATCAGCCTTATCAGTCAGTCAGTCATTCTATCAGACAGTCAATCAGCCAGTCAATCAGTCAGTCCATCACTTAGTAACTGAGCCGGTCAATCAGACAGTCAAACAGTTAGTAAGTCAATCAGCTAGTCAATTGGTCGGTCAATCACTCAGGCAATCAGTCAGCCACTCTATTAGTAAATCAGTCACTGAAGCAATCAGTCAGTCAGTCAATCAGCTAATTAGTCGGTCAGCGAATCAGTTAGTAATTCAGTCAATCAGCTAGTCAATTAGTGAGTTAATCAATCATTCAATCAGCCTGTGTATCAGTCAATCAATTGGTAGATTATATAGTCCATCATTCAATCAATCAGTCTGTCAATAACTAGTCAGTCAATTAGTCCATCAGTCAGCTAGTCTATCAGTCAATTAGTTATTAAGTCTGCCAGTCAGTCGGCCAATGTATTAGTCAATCAGCTTGTAAGTCAGTCAGTCAATCAGCTAATCAATCAGTTAGTCAATCGCCCGGCTCCGACAGCTGTACTGTCTGTACCAAAACAGTTGCTCTTCTAAATTTTTTTATAAGTTTGTCTTATAATAATAATACGTAAAACATAATTCTTCGATCCATTTCTTACTATAAGTTTTCCCCCCTCCCCCTCCAATTTGATGCATTTTAAGCCCGATTTTGTTATTGGTCAACTTTCTTTGCCTTTGACTTTTGGAATGTGTTTGCTTCAGCTTAGACTTGATTGGATCAGCCTCGTGGTTGCGCGGCATTGCCTGGTGTCACACACACACGCACGGACACACACACACACACACACACACACACACACACACACATTGACACAAATAGGAACACATCCTTTGGGGGGACCGCAACATGTGTCGGGCATGTCAACGTCGAGCGCCCATGCACCACTTGCTCCAATTGTTAGCTAACCCCCCCCCCCCCCCTCCCTGGACTGGCACGCCCACGCCCACGCCCACGCCTTTGTCTCTCGGGGGCAGAGGCTGTGCTAAGGCAACAACATTCGATCGGAGCTGGTATCAATAAAATTAACAGGCCCTTAACAGCCCACTTAAGCGGCTTGGCCCGCACGCTTTAAGGCCCATAAAGCTGGCCCCAGCATGCGCGAGGAGGTCGGGCGGGCGGACGGGCGGGGGGTCTGGCTGCAATAGCAAGTGACAAGAGGCAGCATAGTCATGGAGCTGCCACAGGAACAAGCACAGCGCCTGGCAGTTGAAAGTGTCGCCAAAAAGGGGCGGGGCGGGGCGGGGCGGTGGCTTGGCTTGGCCGTGCGGCCAGTGTGGCAAGTTGTCTGCAAAATGCGGCAGTTTAGTTGCATGTTTTCAGTTTCACTGACATCCGACCATGCCCTCAAGCCCACAGTCCGCCCCGCAGCAATGCGCCGCTTTCAATCTTCTGATGCCCTGTAAATAGCACGAGCAAGTGAGCAAAGCTGCGGCACGCCGAAGATTTCATATTTCGTGTATGCTGACGTTCTTTTTATTTGTCAGACTCAGATTCTCCTTAGTAGAGGAATATTGATAGGAGTTGGCTAATATATCTTGAGAAACAAGCAAATATTTCCTACCTTGCGACCGATCGTTCCTATATGATATAGTGCTGCGATCAGGTCCCAGCTGAGAACAGAAAGACGGACCTATGCAAGACTGAGAGACTAGTTCGCATCGAAACAGACAGACGGACAGACGGACAGTCGAATCTGGCCATAACGACTCGGCTGATCTGGAATATATATATATATACTTTATGGATTCGGGGATGCTTTCTTCTATACTATGACAAAATTAGAATACCCTCTGCAAGGCAACAAGGCAAGGAGCTTGCTTTTACAGGGTATTTGCTGGTCGTGGCCGCTGCTTTGGCACATTTTCGCTTGTTTTTAATTGCAGACCAGTTCGTGTTGCTCCCATTTAGCCAAACCTCAGCTGCCAGCCCAACCTCCCTGCCCCCCTGCCCCCCCTGTCAGCCCCTGGGGCCCTAGCCCGGCCAACCCCTTGTCCATGCTTTTGTTGTTGTTGTTGTGTGCTTTAACTTTTACTAATTTTAAATTGCTGTCGCTGCGAAGCGTTGAATGGTGTGTGCGTGTGTGTGTGTGTGTGTGGATGCCTGGGCGTGGCTGCTGTCAAGTGTGTGCGTGTGTGTGTGTGTGTGTGTGTGTGTGGCACAGTTGAGTTGACTTGAAATTTTAATGAAATGCGCTCGTTTTATTGTCAGTGCACGTTTTGGCGTCTGCATTTCAAATTATTTTTAATTGTCAATTTTTGCGGCTGCCTGCAACATTCGGGCGCCAGCCGCGGCGTGTGGCAATCAAAATATTAATGCCACGGCCAGTTGATTAACCGCAAATGAAACAAACCAAAGCAGCAGCAGCAGCGGCAGCACATCCTCAACCAGTGTTACATAATTAAAATCAAATTAACTCACACACTCACACACTCGTCCACTGCGCTGACATTTTTGGTGCACAATTTGCGGAGGCCGCGAAATTAACATTTGACATTTGGCCAGCGACATCAGAAGCTCACTCAGAGAGTGCATTCAATTGCGAACAAATCGCCAGCTCCAACCCCCCACCTACCCCCTCCCACTCCCCCTCCCCCTCCCACTCCTTTCCGCACTACCACTTAATTTCAAGCTGCAGTCGCCTGTCGCAGCTAGAGCTGGAAGAAAAACACACACAAATATAATCGAATGATTCTAGCTCGCATTTTGGTTTTCGATATACTCTATATTTTTCTCATGCAAGCAAGCAAATTGCCAAAGGTCTATCTTTTGCTCTAGTCACAGTTTGACAGTTTTACAGTTTTGCAGCCTTGCAAATCTCTTAGTTTGCTGGACCGTTAATATAATTTCTCGCTATCATCAGGCCAAACATAGCATCTTAAAGCCATGCCCTGAGCTGAATGTCTTTATTCACATACTGCACAGTTTTAAGGGCATTGTCACAGTTTGCAAGTCACTGAAAATCGATTTTGCTTGCTTAATGTAAAACATTATGCTTGGCCCGTTTACATCTAAAATATTACAGTTTTACATTTACCGTTTGAGAGTCACAGCGAAGTGTAGCTTGTTAAACTATTGATAATATCTTAAATAGATCAGAACCAACATAGTTTTGTCACATTCCAAATATGTTAAATTTCTTACAGTTTGATGCTCACAGTTGGAGAGTCAGTGTTAAGACGTTAAGAAATTTTCTGATTTTTCAATATACATTTAGCGAATTGATCATCTACAAAAAAATCATATGCCGCCAACAGTTTTAAATTGACTTGTGTAGAATCACAGTTTTGCAGTCACCAAATTGGGCAGGTTAGATAGTCACAGTTTTGGAGTAATAGCTTAGACTCACACCTTAGGGCCCCAGTTGAGTTGAGTCACCGCTTAAGAGCCACAGTTTTAGAGTCGCAGTTTTAAAAACACCATTTTGGCCGGAGCCTTAAAGCGAAAGTTGTTGTGTTACAGTTTTTGAGTCTTAGTTTAAAATCACATTCTGAAAGACTCTGCTTACTCTGATACAGTTGTAGTGTTAAAGTTTGAAAGTCACAATGTTAGAGGCACCATTTGACCAAGATTAGAGAGTTACATTTTCCGTTACGCTTTAAGTGACCCAGCTTAAGGCTACAGTTGCAGAGTTACAGTCGGAGCCTGAAACGCAATGCTAGAGAGTCACAGTTTAGAAGTCATAGCTTAGACTGTAAGGCCACAGTTGTTGAGTCGCCGGCGCCTTAAAGTGAAGGATGTTGAGTTACAGTTTTTGAGTCTTGGTTTAAAATCACATTCTGAAAGACTCAGCTTAAGGCCACAGTTGTAGTGTTACAGTTTAAGCGGCACAGTTTTACAGTCACTTACTAATGGAAGCCAGTGTATTTCGCAGTTGAATTTCAGCCTGACTTAGCGAAAATAAAATGCCAAAAAAGAAAAAACAAAAGAAGAAAAAGTACAATGTTGAATGAAATTTAAAATTGATTATTTGTGTTATTTATTCATTATTTTTTTTTTTTTTTTGATTGTGATTGATTGATTGATTGTTTGATTGATTGAGTCAGCGCTTGGTCACATTTGTGCAATTTATTGTGCAGCATGGCGCATAATTGAATTCCATTATGAAATACAAATTTGACCTGCCCCGTTCAATATTTAACTGCACGTCCGAGTGCCCGTGCGATGCCAATGCAAATCTGTCAACAATGCGGACCCGCAAATTGGGGTCAAATGCTCCAATTAACTCGGCTAAGAGCAAGATTTAAGCTGCATTTACCTCAACTCAAGATGATGCCATTCGAAAAGCAATATTCAATTTGATTTGCATACCCAGAATCCACTGAGATGGGGTTTCGTGCACAAGACAGATTCTACCGTCCGATTAGGCATATGCATATATTCGCATAAGGACGAGCAGCTGGATCGACTAGGCCATGTCCGACGGTCTATCTGTGTGAAATTTTATATTTTTATATTTATCGATATATATCGATAACTTGTTGAATATA